TCACACTAATGTAAGGTGTGTGTGTTTCAGCTCCATGCAGACCCTGCACTGATGACCAGCTGCTCATGGCGCTCTGCACCAGCGACTTCGGTAAGACACTATTACCATATTACACTCCTTATCAAAAACAAAATAAAACCCAATTTAAAAAAATAAATATTTTTAATTGATTTATATACATGTAAAAAAAATGCTCAAATGTCGAGTAAAAAAACAAAGAGTAAAATTTTTTTATTTTTTTTTAAATTATGTATTTTATTAAAAAATTACAATTAGTTGCCTGAGTGTAACGCAAACAAACAGCACAAATGGGTTAAATACATAATAAAAGCCCCTTTAGAAAATAAGTTGTGCATGCTAAAAAATATTCTGTAAAGCGTAGTCAGTGCTGTGTGTGTGTCAGCTGTGCGCGGCAGGATTCGTCACGTGGAGGAGGAGGAGGATGATGAAGGTCAGGTGTCTGTGCTGCTGTGGTTGAGTCGTGTGTATCGCCAGAAGAGTGGTGTGTTTGTGTTGCTGCGCGGGCGCTGGACGGGGCGAGTGAAGATGCCGATGCGCTGTGACCCGCGCGCGGGACTGGAGGACTTCCTCTTCACGGGACACCTGCGATTCGGAGAGCCCTGGGTCACATGTGCTCCGCTGTACACACACTTCATCACACTGTACCGCTCTGCTGTCCACGCGGGAACTAACCCCTGCCACATACACACTGACTGAGACACACACACACACTGCAAGATTAGGGAAACACTTCAACATTTCACCCTAAAATCAAGAGAAATCATATCAATAAGACACATTCTCATTACTGCTTTGCATCCAGATGTTTTACCTTTTTAAATATTTTGTTTTATTTTGATTCTTTTGTCATTTATTATTTTCAGTTCTGCAATTGTATTTTTATTACTGTTATAATTATAATATTTTTATATATTATTTTATAATTATTATTAGGCTATAATAATAAAATATTAACAGTACAAATATTTATACAAATATTTGCATTATTAAAAATAATAATAATGTGTTCATATTTTAATGAAAATGAAAATTGGGGATATTTGTCTTTATTGTCATGAGTTGTTAATTGTCACAATTGTGTAATTTTGTTTATGCAGACTATGATTTTTTGTGTATTTGTGCCGTTTTTGGGGTGACCCGAGGCCTGGATGTGCCGTTTTTGGGGTGACCCGAGGCCTGGATGTGCCGTTTTTGGGGTGACCCGAGGCCTGGATGTGCCGTTTTTGGGGTGACCCGAGGCCTGGATGTGCCGTTTTTGGGGTGACCCGAGGCCTGGATATGCCGTTTTTAGGGTGACCCGAAGCCTGAATGTGTGGTTTCTGGGGTGACCCGATGCTTGGATGTGCTGTTTTTGGGGTGACCCAAGGCCTGGATGTGCCGTTTTTGGGGTGACCCGAGGCCTGGATATGCCGTTTTTAGGGTGACCCGAAGCCTGAATGTGTGGTTTCTGGGGTGACCCGAGGCCTGGATGTGCGGTTTTTGGGGTGACCCGAGGCCTGGACGTGCGGTTTTTGGGGTGACCCGAGGCCTGGACGTGCGGTTTTTGGGGTGACCCGAGGCCTGGATGTGCCGTTTTTGGGGTGACCCGAGGCCTGGACGTGCGGTTTTTGGGGTGACCCGAGGCCTGGATGTGCCGTTTTTGGGGTGACCCGAGGCCTGGATGTGTCGTATTTGGAGTGACCCGAGGTCTGGATGTGTCGTTTTTGGGGTGACCCGAGGCCTGGATGTGCTGTCTGAAACCGATACAGAGAAAGTGTGTCGTAACACTGTGTGTGTGAGCGTATCATGAGCTCTTGCCTGTTGCGAGAGGATGGCGGTGCTTTTCTTAAAAGCTTTGTTTATAGTTATAGAGCGGTCAATTCTTCTGACTGACGTCTGGAGTGTGTTCATATGTGCGTTTGTGTGTGTTTATGCTGTATGTGTGTTATTTTCCTCTGACTTAAAATGAGTCTGCAATAAAACACCCTTTATAGAAACATGTTTGTGTGTGTTTTCTGTTATTTTGAAGGAATAATATTATTTTTTAGTCATAAAATATAACTGATTCCACTCATTTCTGCAAACATAACCAATGCCACATAGGCACTGAAATCTGTCCAACCTTATTTTTGTCAAAAATAAAATAAAATAAAAAAATCCTGTTGCACATTAAGAAAAGCATTGCATTGGAAAATCTGAATACATTGCAGATGCCATATCATGTTGTTTATGGCCATCACCTTTTTACCACATAGTGCCTATTATAAGTTAAGTTTACAATAACGTTAAACAGCACTGCCAGTCTCATTAACCGTGTGTGACACTCAAAAAAAAGGCTCTTCATGTGAAATATGAACCGTTCTTCATGCTTTACTGTTTTTCCGCAAATTACTGCCAAGTTGAATTGTTGGACCGGTGTGTGACTCCAGCATGAGTCCACGGATAAACTTCTAAATTATTGTTGGACATTCATTTTATTGCACTGAATGTTCTCTCAAACTTTTTTTTTTCAATTTGGAAAAGCATGCACCAAAGAATCTTTCACAGTAACTGTGAAGTTAAGTAAATCGTGAGTTAAATTTACCTTATGCATTTTAGAAGCACGGTCATTTTAGAACATACCATTTTTAGCCGTTTCAATGAAATCCAAACGATCAAATAAAGAATACAAAAAAAAATATGTAGGCACACACAGACATCAAGAATTAGCGTATGTATCTCACCAATGGTGACAAACAGATCACCTCTGAACATAAGCTCATTATCTATTCATGCTGCAATGCATGATGGGAGCCATGAATGAGTTTTGATTGGTGGCACACAGAATTCACTTCAACATGCTTTATAATTGTCACCATTGTTGAGATTCACAGGCTAATTATTGATAGTTATGTTACAAAACAGTTGTTACTAATCAGTGTTATGTTACAGAACAGTGTTTTCAGCCCACTTAGAGAGCAAGTAAACCTATTGTTTTTTGTTGTTTTTGTTTTGTATTTGATCCTGTATTCCTCCTGAAAACTCCCATCTGTCGGAGATTTCCCGTAACGTATCCCATCAGAAGTGGGCTGATCTCCAGCCAGAGTGAACACATGAGTCCAGCACTATCATCTGATCCGTGTGAATGTCTCGAATGCTCGTCGTCTTAAGACTTTCACCCGCTCAGCTGTCTCAAGCACGACTGGAATGAAAGCACAGATAACTGAGACACGGCTCTGAGTGTGTGTGACGGGTTATTATTAACGCTGCTCTTTCCGCTGTTTCCTCTCTCTCTCTCTCTCTCTGCTGGAAGCCGGTGAAATCATCACGACTAATTGTTTTGTGTCTTTACTGTACAATGCTGTTCTTTAATTGAGCACTGTTCACATATTTTCTGTATTGATGATATGCTTCCCAGACAGTAAATGTAACTTTTTTATCTGCTAGATCAGATCTATGGAGTCCCTAAAGGGTCTTTGTGGAAAAAAAAAATGAGATGGGAAGAAAATTCTGCCATTGCTTTTGCGTTCTCTTGCAAATGTTTTTTTTTTTAGTTCCCTGCTGTAGGAACTCCAGCCTTTTGAGTTCTTTGCGAGCAAATGCAAATTTTCTCAGGGGAACTCAAAACGTTTGCGAGAGAACATAATCATTACGAATATACTTTTTTCCCGTTACCATGATCCAAGGGGCTTCATACTCATCAATTGTCTGTAAAAAGTCATTTGTATATTAGCACACCAATGGTTTCTATTATTAGATTGGTAGATTTTGTTGTAGTAATAAACATGTCACAGCACTGGTTATCATTGTTTTCCTATAAGGGCCGATACATTCACAGGAAACAGCTTTGAAAAGGAGAAGGGTATTCGTGTGTCTGTATTTTGCACCAGAGTGAAGCACACGCGCGTTGCACACGCTATCCTGATTCTCCAGACACCCAACACCTCAGACACACAACACTCCCTCCGGCACACACACTTCATTAATTAGGGCGAGTCTCTGCTGTCAGGGGTCAGTGAGACCTCAGGTCATCCGCAACATATGTGGAGAAGAGCTGAGCAGGGAGAAACTAAACACTACATGCAATATAATCCCACTCTTAGAAGATAGCGCACCCTGGTGGATGATATAGGTAATGCGTGGAAGCCTAGTTTTGACACATAACAACAAAACACGATTTTGTAAATCATAAATAATAATGACATAAAATAATGAGTCATTACAATTATTATATAAAATTGGTATTTGTTAAATTATGACTTAAGGTAAGAGCAAAAACATTGTTTTTCTCCTGTGCTGAGCTAGAAATCTTTTACATAGGCTACACCAGACTTTACAGTTGTATTTTTGCTTTGTTTTTTTTTGTTTTTATAAAAAGGGGTTTGTTCATATGTAATTTACAACATTTTATTCTTTTTAAAAAAAAAGAAAATAATTCTGTCTGTTCAGACAATTTTCTGATTTATGGAGTAAAAAAAAAAAGAGATAAAATCCCTTCTGTAAAAACTTTTGAATAATATGTCAACAAAATAAAATATGGATTTTTAATCTGGCTTTATTACATTTTCAGATTTCTTTAATGGACATTTATGCAAAGTAGTAGTTGCATATTTAAAATAAATATCAGAAAACATTTAGTGCAAAAAATCTTAGCAATGCTTAATGTAATCAATCAACTGGGGAAGTATGGTGGCTATTAATTGTTTACCCTGTTAAATTGAAATAAAAAAATCTATGTCATCATTTCAAAGAGTTGACAGCCAATCAGAATCCATCTGACTTTAAGGTGCATACTGCAATTGTACACACATTTTTCTATGCACATGTACAGTTTTCTTTTCTTTACAAGGCGAAACTTGTATGTTATTGTCAAGGACAGTAACATATCATTCAGCATAAAAAAAGATCAAATTTACTGTCCTCCAGATGTGTACTAACGTATTTCTAATGTCAGATGTGTCACTATAGGACTTAAAACACACAATTACATATTAAAAAACAAACATTTTATTACGTAACCTTTATTTAAATGTTAAAATATACAGATACACAAAAACATGCATGTGTATGTGTGTCAAAGCAATATGTTCTATGAAAACATTGTACCTTTATAAAGAGAGGGAAGTTACAGACACAAATATGTCTTATGCTCATCGAAGAGTGACTAATACACAAGATTACAAAACTTTGGAAATGTTACAAAACATGCTATTTACAGAAAAGTTTCGACAAGCGTTTAATTTCAGTGCATAGATTCTGTAACTTCCCACACCGACGCGACAAACCGCAGTCTTACAAAGAATAGATGATGATGTGAATAACCAACATGGACTTTTTTTTTTTTTTTTTTTTTTGCCGTTAGTCTGTGGTAATATTGGTACATCTGACCAGAACTTCCTACAGACGGCTAACAGCGAAGGAGAAGTAAAGGAGTGTAATGCTCCTGATGTTACACGCATTTAAATCACTATTATAACATTTGAATAAAAGCTGCAGTAAATGATTGACAGCTTCATTTTCAATCCATTTGACGGATCCTGGATCATTTGATTGAGCTGTAAATCACCAAATTATCTTTCACAGCACCGCATCTGTGGATCAACATAATCAGAGATAAAGTGTGAATGACCATTATAGATCCACCAAAAGAACTGCAGGAGTCAATCGAAGTCCAGCGGTGCTCAGATTGAGGAGATCATGCAAGTTATGTAACATAAAAATAAGTTTCATTGCATCTCACCTGACAGCAGGGTCATGATGGAGCGTTCTCAGATTCTCATAATTGGCTTCATTGTTCCCGATGTGTTGGATAGTTGCATACTTGATCTTGTCAGAATCTGTGGATTCAGTGTTTCTCTGATCTGTTCTGACCTGGAGAAAGACATCAAAACCTTTCAGAAAATTTAACTATTAACATAAATCATCTAAAATGAGTGAAGAGCTTTCTGTTTCTGTAAACATTAGCATTGTCTTAATGATTTCTCATGCTGGGATCACATATATATTTATATTGAAGCAGAAAATACCTGATTCTTAATTAGGGCCCGAGCACTAACAGTGCGAGGACCCTATTGAAACTGTTAGGATTATTTTTTTATTTTTTTATTTTTTCTGCAAAGTAAGCGCCATTTTCGGGGCCGCAACATGCTCAAAAACTCACCAAATTTGGCACTCATGTCAGGACTGGTGAAAAATTTCGTATTTTGTGGGTTTCGCAGATGGGCGGGGCAAAATGGCTCGCTAGCGCCACCTAGAAAATTGGAAATAATTAGCCCCTCGTCCACGTTCAACCTACATGCACGAAATTTGGTGGGGACGTGTATCATATCAAGATGCACAAAAAAGCCTCAAGAACCCATACTATAAACTCGACAGGAATTTGGCGGTTTGGACGATTTACACACTCCGTACTTTAACGAACTCCTCCTAGGGATTTAGTCAGATCGACTTCAAATTTCTGCTGTGCCTTCTAAAGGCATTGACGATGTAAAGTTTTGCTATCTCCGCGTTTTCGTCGATGGGCGTGTCCGTGGCGTCGAAGATTCGCCATAAAAGAGGAAGTTGTAGTAACTTGGCTCTAAATGCTCAGATCTGCACGAAATTTTACACAATTGACAAGAGTCCCGCCCTGAACAAATCTACATGCCGATATTCACCCACAGTCATAGCGCCACCTCCTGGCAACAGGAAGTGACGTTTAACGAAGCAGCGTAGCAAATGCACATGCGCACTGGCTGAGCTGCAGAAAATGCAACACGGCCGCCTCAGACCCCGACGTGCTACAGGTGCGAGGGCCCGCCCATCGCTGCTTGCAGCTTTAATTATTATTATTTTCAGATGGATAATTCTATGTTCTGACCTGATTTTGTTTGACGTCCGTCACTCCACCACATTTTCTCTTCCTGTGGCAGAGATAATCATGTAAACAGATACACACAATAATAATTATTAATAATTAGCCCATTGTGTTTTAATTAAACAAATGTAAGTAAATAATTCTCACCTCTTGAACATGATGATGCAGACAAGAAATAAAACAGCACATCCGGCTGCGATCGCAATAACTATGTAAGGCATTCCTGAAAAACCCCCTGGAAAAATAAGGAATACTTGAAATGTGAAATGTATTTGATGCAGAAATCAGAAAATGTTTGGTGAAGCCTTGCATTAAAAATATATTACGCAAGCCAGTGTATTCTGGCAGGTCTTTGGTTGATGGAATAAATTAATAAAAATGTAAAAAAAAGAAAAATTTTACACTTGAATAAAATATATAAAAATGGTAGTATTTAAAATTCAAATCATTAAGTGAAATTAACTTTTGATGATTTTTTAAAATGATTTTACCTTTAACAGTGACAGTTACAGCGTCTGATCTCTGAGATCCATGTTGATTGTGAGCCTGACAGTAGAAGCGTCCACTCTGTAGTGCACTGAAACTCTGTCCAGATCCAACAGCTGAGCTTTCATTCTCCTTAAACCAGCTGAAGTTCACAGCAGGAGGGTTTGAGTCACTGATGCACTTCAGAGTCACTGAATCTCCTGCCCAGATCTGACCGGACTGAATGATGGACACTGAGACGTTCCTGGGAGGATCTAAAACAGACAAAAATTAAAATTCACAATAACTATTACAAAATTATGTGTTTGGAAATTTTAAACAGTGTGCAGATGATCATTAACTCACACATGACGTTTAAAGTCACAGTATCAGAGTATTTCTCTCCATGTTCATTGAAGGACTTGCACTTGTATTCTCCACTGTCATCAGATCTGATCTTTGAGATGCTGAAGATTCTTCCAGATCCTACAATCATTCCTCCTTTAAACCAGCGGATTCCTGCAGGAGGGTTTGAGTCACTGATGCACTTCAGAGTCACTGAATCTCCCTCCACTATTACACCAGATGGACTGATGGACACTGAGACGCTCCTGGGAGGATCTAAAACAGACAAATTTTAAAACCTCAAATAATCTCATTCAAACTCAATCTCCAGTTTTTTTAAGACTTAGGGCCCTATCTTGCACAACGACTTTATACACTGACGCATTTATCATTCCATTCAATTCAATTCAATTATTTTGCACTCGTGCAAAGCGGGATTTTTTTTCCGTCCACAGACGCACGTCGGTAAACAAGGAAATGATCTTGCGCTCCCTGGGCAGGTTGGCGCAAAAAGGAGGCGTGTGTCGGCGCAAACAATCCCTGGTGCTATTTTGCAGTTGCAGAAAACTATTGCGCCACTGACCAGAAAAACCTGGTCTAAAGTCAGTGGCGCGTACATTCAGATGCTATTTTAAGCGCATGCTTGGTCATAATAGTGTGAACAACGTCCATACACTGTAGATGATTCTCTCATCTACACAGATGCATTTTACTTTTTGCAAATGATAAATTATTATAAGGAAAAATTTATAAACACGAGGGAAATCATTGTTGTGTCCATGACGATGGTAAAAATAGGCATAATGCGTGCACATTTACCCAAATTATTATATGCATGTTTAACCGAAGCTAATTTGGGTGTGTTTGTCCCATCCCCGATGTCCCTTCCCTTTCTTTTACGTCCCTGACGAGAACATCAATCTCCTCGGCTGTGAACCGATGCTAAAGAGTGTCTAGTAAATGCGCCGTTATAATAGAATTGCGCCATGGAACAAGCGCACCTCGTTCATCACGCTCTTAAAGGGAATGTGATATGACGCTCTGATTGGTTTATTTCCGTTACGCCCAAACCACATATGAATAATGAAGCTACTTCAAACCAACCCCTTTTAAACTTGCGCCAGGCGCAAGAGGCATTTATCCCGCCGGGAAAATAGCAACAGCATCGAGATCCGCCCACAAAGTTACTTGCGCTTTGCACTTGCTACTTACGTTTCAGATCATTAAAATAGGGCCCTAAATCTGCACTTGTTTGTTACTACAGTTACTGAAGCATCATTAACTCACACATGACGTTTAAAGTCACAGCATCAGAGTATTTCTCTCCATGTTCATTGAAGGACTTGCACTTGTATTCTCCACTGTCATCAGATCTGATCTTTGAGATGATGAAGATTCTTCCAGATCCTACAATCGTTCCTCCTTTAAACCAGCTGAAGTTCAGAGCAGGAGGGTTTGAGTCACTGATGCAGTTCAGAGTCACTGAATCTCCCTCCACTATTACACCAGATGGACTGATGGACACTGAGATGTTCCTGAGGGGGTCTAAAAATGAAAATCAAAAATTGCATAAAATAAACTAAGCAACATTGTCTCGCATCCACCTCAAATTGAGACTTAAGTGTATTACAAAATTTGTACATTTATTTTAAAAAATAATATTTTTCCCTCTGTAAAACCACCATCCCCATTTGATTGACATTGTTCTAAATTATGTAAGACTTATCATGTAAATTAAATTAGAAAGTTTAGGATAATTAACAAAATATAAGTGAGCAATTATTGACCAATCAGAACCCAATACTGAGCACAGTCAAGCAAACTTTTACCATTTTTCACACTTGTTCAACATGGTTGAACCCACTTCAGGTTGGTGGAGAGTTCCTGCCTCAAGTGGAGGAGTTTAAGTATCTTGGGGTCTTCTTCATGGATGAGTGAAGGATGGGACGGTGTGGCAGTGAAAACGACTCGGTTACGGATGTAACCCTCGTTCCCTCCGAGTAGGGAACGGAGATGTTTCGGAGGATGACGACGAATGGGATTTCGCTTAGAAAGCAGGAGTGTAATGCAGCTGCCATATGCCCCAGGAGCCTCTGAAAAAGTTTTAGTGGAACCACACTCTTGCCTGTACTGTCTCAGACAAGTCAGAAGTGACTGCGCGTGCTCGCTCGTAAGCTGCGCGGACATGGCGACCGAGTCGATATCCATACCGAGAAAAGAGATCCTCTGCACGGGGCAAAGTTTGCTCTTTTCACAGTTGACCCGAAGGCCCAGACGGGCTAGGTGCCGGAGCACTAGGTCCTTGTGTTCGCAATCTTGGTCTTGAGAGTGAACTAGGATCGGCCAGTCGTCGAGAGTTCAGGCTGCGAACCCCATGTTCCCAGAGGGGAACAAATGGTAATATAGCGCTTTCATAGACCCAATGGCCTCCAATGCGCTTTACAATTTGCCTCACATTCACTCATTCACACACCGATGGCGGTGTCAGCCATACAGGCGCCATCCAGCTCGTCGGGAGCAGCTGGGGTTAGGTGTCTTGCTCATGGACACCTCGGCACTTGGACAGGTGGAACCGGGGATTGAACCACCAACCTTTCGGTTTGTAGACAACCTACATGAACCACTGAGCCACTGCCGCCCAGCTCAAGGCTGCCTCGTCGACCTTTGTGAAGATGCGCTAGCCCGAATGGGAGAACCACGTGCTGATATGCCTGCCCCTCGAAAGCAAACCGCAGGAACGGTCTGTGTCGAGGGAGGATGGAGACATGAAAGTGGGCGTCCTTCAGGTCTATCGCTGCAAACCAATCGTGGTGCCGTATAGACCCCTTTTGAGCCGACGTCACAGTTACGTCACGGCGCTAGCTGGAGGCAAAACAAAGTGAAAACTGGAGGCGGTCAATGCTAAACAGCACAGATTCGGCTTCATAATAAGGAGCTTAAATAATTGTTACTATTATTAAATGTCATCTTGTGTTGTTTGGTGCAAGAATTGATGAAAAATGAATATGCTGTATCTGGAACTTTTATTTCTAGAAAATATTCACATCATTAAAATTGCACTGTAATGTCACTCTTTACATTGTCGTGGTCTCGGCGCTGACTCGGCAGAACTGCGGATCATACACACAAGTCTTGTACAGGACCATATAGGCATCTAAAGATTTATATGCCTTAGTTTCTCTTTACGATCGGTTTCTCTATAAGGTAGGTGTAGAAGTCAGGCCACTCAACCGAGGTAACGTACGTTAATCCTGTCAGATCGTCCATGCATTGAGTGAGCGTGTAGGCGGCTACGGGTCGGCCAATCTGGTTCCGTCCGTTAAAAATAACTTTTGGAAATAGCAATCGCGGTCCTGGACACTGAGTGACCTTACACATTAAGATAATATCGGATTTTCTCCAGTCATTGTTAAAAAAACAAGCTAACAATCCTTGCTAACTAGCGGCCAGATGGATCTTTCTGCCTCCACCTAAGCTCCGCCCACATAAAAACGTCACCATGTTTACCAACTGTAAAAGGGTCTATACTTTTGAAAATTTGTGAAAATTTGCCTGTGAAGGGAGCGGTTCAGAAAGTGCAGGTCCAGGATTGGCCGTAACCCACCAGTAAGACCGGGCCGAGGCCGCTTGTAGAGGCAACCTTTCGCTTGGGTCGGCCCCTGGAGCCTGAAGAGGAATGAGGAGTGTAGAAAAAGAGGGAATCTGAGGAGGACAATATGGTGTCTAGCTAGTGGAAGCAGCCTCACATTAGAGTTTGACAGTGGGAAAGGAAAGGCAATTGTCTAAAACCCAACACTGTACATTTCTGTATTGCAGGGATGGCTAAGTACCAAGATGAAATCAATTATGTTTCATTTTAATCATTTCACACACTATGCATGTGTGAGACTGCGTATCTGAAAGCTCACACACAACAGACCGAACTGTTCTTCCAGTGGCTGCCATACATGCTGTTTTTGAGCATGATCCTCAGCTTGCCACCTCTTTTAGGTGGGGAGGTATAACCATTGTCTATAATTATTAAACTGTAAACACAATACGCTTAGATGTCATTTGGTGATCCTAGAACATAGATGGTGGGATGTGGAAATAATCTTTATAAAGTGTCACAGGTGATGTGCTAATCATTAAATAATGTTTGAGATTTACACATTACATATAATTTTTATTTGTTCAAATAATGACAAAATTCATACTCACACATGACATTGATCTGAACATCAGGAGAGACGTGTGTGTGTCCGTCTACAGCACAGCTATATCTGCCTGAATCCTCTCTTCTGACTGGATTGAGGATGAGTGTGTTCCTGAATTTACTCTCAGTTAATATCTTCAGTGAGTTTCTGTACCAGATGAATGTTGCTCTGTCAGTCAGAGCGCAGCTGCTTTTACATGTCAGACTGACTGAATCTCCCTCTGTCACTCTCTCAGGAGACTCCACCTGAAGATCTGAACACAACACACACATTATATCTAGTGCTGCTGTCACACACTGATTATTATTCAACATAATGCACAGAAGAAGAGATAAACCTCATCAAAGTCACCTGTGACAGTAAGAGTCACTCCTGGATCACCAGTCCATTTTCCATTAGGTTTATCAGTGATGAATCTGAAATAGTACATGCGTGAATCCTTCAGTGTCACATGACTCAGTCTGACGGTGCAGTTCTGCTGTTTATCTCCCAGATGAAGCCTCTGACTGTATTCAGGGTCATTAGACAGATCTGGAGGCTCGACACCCCTTTGTATTGGGCCTTTGGTCCAGAACGCTTTTTTGATCTTATATTTGGTAGGGTATTTATAAGTGCATCTCATTATCACTGTTGAGTCGTTTAGTGCACAGATGTGTCGAGGACTGTAACTCACACCCCAATCAGCACTAGAAACCCCTGAAAAACCACATTTATAATAAACAAAGCAGCAGTTTTTAATAGAATATATTTGCAGTCTTTAAATATCTTATGTTTGTTGAGGAAAAGCAGAATTTATCATCTGAGACAGAAGTATGAAAATGGAAGTGAAAATACAGACTGTCTAAAGATGAAAATATTAAAGAATTATTAATATTAATAATTATTTAGATATTGTGATTTAATTAATATCATAAAATAATATTTCCCCACAAAAGCCAATTAATAATGATATTTTAGCATTACATGAACGAGGAACAGATGATATGGACATAGGTGGTACTTCAAGCTTATTCTGCTCCAATGGCAGGAAAATCATTATTTTTCATTTTTAATATAATTAATCAAACTAAACTAACTAAC